CAAAACAAAACAAAACAAAACAAAACAAAAAATAAAATAAAATAAAATAAAATAAACTTCAGGTAGGCAAACTATGGCCTTTCTATCATCTCCGACTAACTGGATTTGATGGGAGCTGGAAACCGAGCAATATCTAGAGGATAATAGGTGACCCATTTATGCAATAATACGTTATATCCTTGAACTGTATTCCTGGACTGAGGGCACTGCATTATGGTTGTTTTCTTTTTCAAATTAGTTATTTCAATTTGTGGTGGATGTGATAAGAACATAAATTAAACAGCTTGTAATAGCAGAATCTTGTTGGGTGGAGAAATAGGAAAAACATTTTAGGCAGCAGAGCAATATCCTAAAAATTTGGGTTTTGCTATTAGAGAATATTGTGAGTTTTGCTTGATGGTCAAATTGCAGTTCTGGACTTATGTGAAATACTGGCAAGTCAAAGGTGACATACTCTTCCCATGATACTAGATGATACTAGAAATGACAGATTTTTTAAAAAAATCATTTTATTGGTTTCATGTGCATTTTATTACACTGAACATTACTTTAGAAGCCAAATATGGGCACTTCCATCACTTGCCATATCATGAGAGGACATGTAAATGCAGTGTCCCAACCACTGAAGATATTGCTCGTGTTTTATTTGATTGTTAACTTTATGTCCCTCTTAGGCTTAGATATCTAAAATCCCTACTTGACACAGCAGCCCACTGAGACCTAAACTGCAGATTGTCCTATTTCCTCCTGGGGTCTAATGTATACATTGTTAGCAGAACTGCTAAGTGTATAGACAAGGCAGTTCAGCTATGAATCCATTATGTTGAGCAGACTGGAGTACTGTGTAAAGGAAATGTATTTATCTGAACATTGACTGTATTTAGCACATATGTATTTTATTGTATTTTCTTTTACCTACTTTATCTTGGAAATAGAACTTGTATTTTACCTTTATTTATTTATTTAGTCATAAGACTAATCAATCAATAAACTATCAATGCATAACTTTAGAAAGTATATTTTAAAAATGATGGCATAAAAGCATTTTAAATCAATAAAGTATCTGCTTAATTTACATAGAAATACATTAATTTTTACCACCATTCATTAATAATGTAAGTAAAACATTCATACCTTATGATTAAAGTACTTCTCAAATTTTAATCTTGCCAATTCAACACATTGGGACCACCTTCTTGGTCTTCTACTGAGGCATTTAATCACTTGGAAAGAGCCTTCCAAACTTTCTCCAGACTTTATTCTCTAGAAAAAATAAAAACAAAAATGAGCAACCCTAGAACACATGTCACAAATTAGATGTCATTAAAACGTGTATTCCCACAGTACATGTTAATAGAGAATTATAATCAGTTGGAAATATGTAAGATAATAACCACAGACACCCAGTAAAACAGAAGTTTTTGTGGATTTTTTTTCCTAACTGTATTCAATCCTAGGTCTGTATGCTGTGGAAAATTCACACTTTGTATGTTACATTTTTCCTTCTGTACATGAATTGCTTTATGGTTTAAATATGTACAGAGCTAAGTATTATGTTATGCTTTTTTATCATTGTTCTTTACATTAACATACTATAACCTTAGATCACAATTCAATTCCAGCTTTCATTTCAATGGAGAATCAAAAGTTACATCTTTTATCTGACAGATGATATAAATAACTATTTTACAACCAACAGAGAAACACAGGTAAAGCAGAATGCTGAGATAATAGTAATAATGAAATTACTCAGATGTTACCATTCTACCATTACCCAATATATTTAAAATATTCACAATAAATTTAAAAATGCAATTTTAGCCAATTCATACTTTATTTTAACTTAGGATCATTCTAGTTCAATCCTCTGCATAATTAGCTTATTGGAAGAATATGAACATGCGCTAGAGATTCAATCATATTAAAATCAATTAATATTACCCCAAACATGTAAAATTTACAACAGGTTAAATGACAAACAACATAGTAATTTCATATATAATTTTAATCACAATTTAGAATATCACCTGTAACACTTCTTCAGCTGATGGATACGTTTGCCAAAACTTGTTAAACAGGGAAGGTTTGTGTGAAAAAGCACTTTCAAACTAAAAAAAAAAAGTTTAAAATGTTATGAGAAAATACTACTGCATATCCACCCATTTTCTTGCTAGACAAAAAAAAAAAACAGACCCAAAACTACAGTTCACTTCTATTTTTAGTTTCCTTCAATGGGACTTATGTCTTTGTAACCTGCTCGCATTAATATTTACCTTGTCTCTTGCCCACTGTATTGTGTGTTCAGTCGCAGCTGGAAAAGATTTTAACGTGCAAAATGGTATTTCTTCTTCAGGTGGATCTCGCTAAATATAAAAAAAATGAAAAAGATTGTATACACACAAACAGACATACACAAATATATTCTGGTTTGGTGTTTCATCTCTAACTCAGTTAATTTCACAGTCTGAATTAAATGAGAGCAAATGTTTTTGCTGGTAAGTTGTATTTCCTTTCAAATGAATATATCTTTCATTAGATGTTAAGAGTTATTTCAACAAGGTAAGATTGAGAAGTAAATTGTCATAGCAAATGAGGTAATAATGCCTTCTTAATAAGTAAATTATATTTTCAAAAACATCTAACTGTTCACAGAAACCATCAATTCCAAATGATATTTCCAAAGAAAAATTGAACACTGAAATACTTTTAGATGAAGTCAACTACTGTACCAATCAGAAAACTGTATGGGTTATTCTTGATTATTTTAGATAGCAGTAACAATGTTGTAATAGTATGCTTTTACTTTTTTTTTAATATAAGTATCTTAAAATGGTTTCCAAAAACCAAACAATTAAATATGTATGCCCAAGAACACTTTGATCTTATGTACAAAATCTGTACAAATTTCTGATAAGTCACTTGATTTTAAAGCACTAAAGGATTATCTATTTCAAAAGAGGTCAAACAAAATTTATGGTCTCCCACCCAAAAGACAGTGCTTTTATGGCTAGGGCACTTACATGACTATTATAAGATTCTGTTAGATGAGGCACAATGATTTCTGTATGCCCTTTAGTTCCCATGGTTCCAGAATCTAAGAGAGGACGCAAGCTTGCTAGGCAGCGACTTCACAATGAATGCAAAGAATAAAAGAATTTTTATTAAGTCATAATAGATAGAACATAGGGAGAAAAATATAGTATGATATGAGTTCACAACTTAGCTCAGAATATCTGGCTGAAAAGAGAAAAAGGGAGTAAACTAATCATAAATCACTACACTGAATAAGAAACTTGGATACATTTATTATTATAACTATTCATACCCTGCCTTGCCATTAGAAAAAAAGCCAAGGTAGGCCATGTCTTTTAATTTATTGTTATGCTGATAGTGTTTTAAATGGGATGGGGTAGCGCTGCCTCAGACAGACCCAGTGCGTAATCTGGGGGTCCTCCTAGACTCACGGCTCCTGCTTGAAGGGCGGGTGGCAGCCGTGGCAAGGAGGGCCTTTGCACAACTTCGGGTTGTAAATGGGATGGGGTAGCGCTGCCTCAGACTGACCCAGTGCGTAATCTGGGGGTCCTCCTAGACTCACGGCTCCTGCTTGAAGGGCGGGTGGCAGCCGTGGCAAGGAGGGCCTTTGCACAACTTCGGGTTGTGCATCAGTTACACCGTTTCCTGGATCAGGATGCCCTTCAAACAGTCATTCACGCCCTTGTTATCTCCCAAATAGACTACTGCAATGCGCTCTACATGGGGCTACCCTTGAAGAGTATCCGGAAGCTAGAGCGTGTCCATAATCCGGCCGCGCGGGCTATTGTTGGTGCCCAAAGGAGGGCCCATGTAACGCCTCTGCTCC